ACGAGACCGAAACCGACGCTGTCTTTAGCTCGTCTGTCCCTCCATACCCCTCCCCTCTACCCATCCCCATCCCCTCCTACCCCCGTACCCACCCCATCTACCTCTCCTTCCCTCTCTTTCCTGTACCCCCTTACCTTCATCCTCCCTCTTGCCTCTCTCTCCCTTTAGCCTCATCCTCCCTCTTTCCTTTTCTATCCCTCCTAACCTCATCCTCCCTCTCCCCTCGCCTTATATCCTCCCCCCCCCCCCTATCCTCCTCTGCCCACAATACCCCCTCCCCTCCATCCCCCTCTTCCAACACTTTCTCCCTACCTTTACCTCTTCCCCTGCGTTCGTAAGTGTGTATGTGCGTGAGCGTGTGCTGTCACGTCGGCGTTCGTGCATGAAGGGATTCGAACGCGCGAAGCAGGTGTCGCCTCTTTCCACCTTTTGGCTTCGTTGATCAACCCGACCTCGAAGGCGCGTGCAGCGAAACGGACGCAGGGTTTTCCTATGTGAAGGCCTTTAGCATTCGTATGTATAATTTCATTCAATCTATTTATTCATTTGTTTACTGAATGGAACTTTCTTATTTAAATGAATGCTTATTAATAATACGCATTCTTCATTCCATGTAATCAATTATTTATCTAACTTTTCGTGTTCTTTTTGTTATAAGTGGATCCATAAGTATGCAAAGTTGTTGTTTTTTTCCGATATGAACTTTTAAAATAATTATATGTGTATATGTATATATGAATTCATTTATTTATTTTGATATGAGAGAGAGAGGGAGGGGAGGAATTAAAGAGAGAGAGAGAGAGAGAGATACATGGATACATACATTCATACATGAATACATATGTCCGTCAGTCTATCCATCCATCTATCTATCTTTCTTTCTATCACACACACACACACACACACACACACACACACACACACACACACACACACACACACACACACACACACACACACACACACACACACACACATACACGCACACATGCACTGCTTCTGCCCAATGCGTATCTAAAAACGAGAAAATCTCCCAATAGGGAGCTGTTGCATCATGACATGAATCTTAAGCCGAGATTTGTGTGTGTGTGTGTGTGTGAGATGTGTGTGTGATTGTATGTATAACTATATATATATATATATATATATATATATATATATATATATATATATATATATATATACATATATATGTATATATATGTATATATATGTATATATATATATATACATATATACATATATATGTATATATATGTATATATATGTATATATATGTATATATATGTATATATATATATATATATATATATATATATATATATATATATATATATATATAAAATATATATATATATATATATATAAAGAGAGACAGAGACAGAGACAAAAGAGATGCAAATACGAATATATATAGATCGTCACAGAGATAAAAAAGTATATAGATGAACACACGTTATGGAATTCAACGGCGTTTATTTCACAGTTATATTGGCAAGCATCGGCGCCTCGGAGAATCGGAGGGACAGTCGAGGGCTACAGTGCGTGGAGTGGAACGAGACATTTCACAGTTAATCAGAGAACAAGGTCACTGTTTACATAGGTTGGCTCCGTTCGGCTCTTTTTTTTTCTTTTTTTGGTGGTGGAAAGAAGAAGGAGGGAAGGAGGGAGGGAGGGAGAGAGGGTGGGAAGGAGGGAGGGAGGGAGAGAGGGTGGGAAGGAGGGAGGGAGGGAGGGAGGAAAATAGGGTGGCTGTAGATGCTGAGGTTACTCGCATTACTTACGGCGTCTCCTTGGTTTCGTTACCCGCTTTTTTAAATGTTCTTTTTTTGTTTCTCTCTCTCACTCTCTCTCTCTTATATATATATATGTGTGTGTGTGTGTGTGTGTGTGTGTGTGTGTGTGCGTGTGTGTGTGTGTGTGTGTTTATGTATTTATGTATGTATGTATGTATTTACATGTATGTTGTATATATAAATGCATACATTGTCTGCACCTGCTGCTTCGGCTCTGCCAGCGCCCTCAAGGTTCATGTTTAAATCCAGGTTACGTTGTGGTCTGCGCGATTCTATGTCCGATTCACATAAAGCTATATTATGTTAGTTTCTGTGTAAGCATAGCGACCTTGGCAACATATATATTCGCTCGACATTTTTTTTTTTAACGGGAAATTCGTTATTGGGATTGAATTCTTTATCTGTACTTAGACGAGAAAGAGTATTTCCGAACAGCTGAGTTCCCACAGCGCCCCAATGTCGCCGCGCGCGCTCTGTTGCCCGGATGTTATGACACTTGTTCGTCTGTGCTATTTTGTGGCCTTAATAGTTGTCCCTCATTTTTATGGAAGTTTTGTTGTTGTTGTTGTTATTTTTTGTGCCTTTACATTGTTGTGTATTTGCCGGATGCTTTGATGTTACTTTTCATTTTGCTATTTATTTACTTTATTGTATGGTGTTAGTTATATATATGACTTAGCTATAGGTGAGTGGAAACGAACACTAAAGATAATAAAAGGTAAGGGAAGAATAATCGTCATTTACAAAAAAAAAAAAAATTACCT